AGGACTGGAGGGGGACCACTGAGACTGGAGGGGGACCTCTGGAGGACTGGAGGGGACCACTGAGGACTGGAGGGACCACTGAGGACTGGGTGAACCCTGGAGGACTGGAGGGGGACCACTGAGGACTGGAGGGGACCCCTGAGGACTGAGGGGACCACTGAGACTGAGGGGACCCCTGAGGACTGAGGGGGACCACTGAGAACTGGAGGGGACCACTGAGGACTGGAGGGGACCACTAGACTGGAGGGGACCCCTGAGGACTGGAGGGGGACCCCTGAGACTGGAGGGACCCCTGAGGACTGGAGGACCACTAGGACTGGAGGGGAACCACTGAGGACTGGAGGGGGACCCTGAGGACTGGAGGGGACCCTGAGGGACTGGAGGGGACCCCTGAGGACTGGAGGGGGACCCCTGAGGACTGGAGGGGACCCTGAGGACTGGAGGGGACCGAGGACTGGAGGGGACCCCTGAGACTGGAGGGACCCCTGAGGACTGGAGGGGGACCACTGAGGACTGGAGGGACCACTGAGGACTGGAGGGGGACCACTGAGGACTGGAGGGGGACCACTGAGGACTGGAGGGGACCCCTGAGGACTGGAGGGACCCCTGAGGACTGGAGGGACCCCTGAGGACTGGAGGACCCTGAGGACTGGAGGGGACCACAGAGGGACTGGAGGGGGACCCCTGGAGGACTGAGGGACCCTAGGACTGGAGGGGACCCCTGAGGACTGGAGGGGACCCCTGAGGACTGGAGGGGGACCCCGAGGACTGGAGGGGACCCCTGAGGGACTGAGGGGACCCTGAGGATTGAGGGGACCCTGAGGACTGGGAGGGGACCCCTGAGGACTGAGGGACCCCTGAGGACTGGAGGGGACCCTGAGGACTGGAGGGGACCCCTGAGGACTGGAGGGGACCACTGAGGACTGGAGGGAACCACTGAGGACTGGAGGGGACCACTGAGGACTGGAGGGGGACCACTGAGGACTGGAGGGACCCCTGAGGACTGGAGGGGACCACTGGAGGACTGGAGGGGGACCACTGAGGACTGGAGGGGACCGAGGACTGGAGGGGACCCTGAGGACTGGAGGGGACCCCAGAACTGGAGGGGGACCCCTGAGGACTGAGGGACCGCTGAGGACTGGAGGGTGACCTGAGGACTGGAGGGTGACCCCTGAGGACTGGAGGGACCCCTGAGGACTGGAGGGTGACCCTGAGGACTGAGGGGGACCCTGAGGACTGGAGGGGACCCCTGAGGACTGAGGGACCCCTAGAACTGGAGGGTGACCCCTGAGAACTGGAGGGGACCCTGAGACTGAGGGGGACCCTGAGGACTGGAGGGGGGACCACTGAGGACTGGAGGGTGACCTGGAGGACTGGAGGGTGACCCGAGGACTGGAGGGTGACCCTGAGGACTGGAGGGTGACCCCTGAGGACTGGAGGGGACCCGTGAGAACTGGAGGGGACCCGTGATGACTGGAGGGGACCACTGAGACTGGAGGGGACCCCTGAGGACTGGAGGACCCCTGAGGACTGGAAGGGACCCCTGAGGACTGGAGGGAACCCCCTGAGGACTGGAGGGGACCCCTGAGGACTGGAGGGGGACCCCTGAGGACTGGAGGGTGTCGTGACCGTCAACAGGTTCACCAGTTGAGAGAGAGAGAAAAATGCCTCCTGGACCCGTGACAGAACACGAGTTTACACGCTGACAACACCAGTTAGGTTAGGTCAGGTTAAGCGTGTGTGTGTGTGACACAAACACACACCATCATGATCACCACCATGCTCATCACATCACACCATCATGATCACCACACCATGCTCATCACATCACACCATCATGATCACCACACCACGCTCATCACATCACACTACACCATCATTATCAACACACCATGCTCATCACACTACACCATCATGATCACCACACCATGCTCATCACATCACACCATCATGATCACCACACCACGCTTCATCACACTACACCATCATGATCACCACACCACGCTCATCACATCACACCATCATGATCACCACACCACGCTCATCACATCACACTACACCATCATGATCACCACACCATGCTCATCACATCACACCATCATGACACACACCATGCTCATCACATCACACCATCATGATCACCACACCAGCTCATCACATCACACTACACCATCATGATCACCACACTATGCTCATCACATCACACCATCATGATCACCACACCACGCCCATCATCACACTACACCATCATGATCATCACCACACCATGCTCATCACATCACACTACACCATCATGATCACCACACCATGCTCATACATCACACTACACCATCATGATCACCACACCATGCTCATCACATCACACCATCATGATCACCACACCACGCTCATCACATCACACTACACCATCATGATCACCACACCATGCTCATCACATCACACCATCATGATCACCACACCACGCTCATCACATCACACTACACCATCATGATCACCACACCATGCTCATCACATCACACCATCATGATCACCACACCACGCTCATCACATCACACTACACCATCATGATCACCACACCACGCTCATCACATCACACTACACCATCATGATCACCACACCACGCTCATCACATCACACTACACCATCATGATCAACACACCATGCTCATCACATCACACCATCATGATCACCACACCACTCATCACATCACACCACACCATCATGATCACCACACCACGCTCATCACATCACACTAGACCATCATGATCACCACACCACGCTCATCACATCACACTACACCATCATGATCACCACACCATGCTCATCACATCACACCATCATGATCACCACACCACGCTCATCACATCACACTACACCATCGCGATCACCACACCACGCTCATCACATCACACCACACCATCATGATCACCACACCATGCTCATCACATCACACCATCATGATCACAACACCACGCTCATCACATCACACTACACCATCATGGATCACCACACCACGCCCATCACATCACACTACACCATCACATCACCACACCACGCTCATCACATCACACTACACCATCATGATCACCACACCATGCTCATCACATCACACCATCATGATCACCACACCACGCTCATCACATCACACTACACCATCATGATCACCACACCACGCTCATCACATCACACTACACCATCATGATCACCACACCACGCTCATCACATCACACTACACCATCATGATCACCACACCATGCTCATCACATCACACCATCATGATCACCACACCACGCTCATCATACACTACACCATCATGATCACCACACCATGTCATCATCACACTACACCATCATGATCACCACACCACGCTCATCACATCACACTACACCATCATGATCACACACCATGCTCATCACATCACACTACACCATCATGATCACCACACCATGCTCATCACATCACACTACACCATCATGATCACCACACCGCCCACACCATCATGATCACCACACCACGCTCATCACATCACACTACACCATCATGATCACACCATGCTCATCACATCACACCATCATGATCACCACACCATGCTCATCACATCACACCATCATGATCACCACACCACGCTCATCACATCACACTACACCATCATGATCACCACACCATGCTCATCACATCACACTACACCATCATGATCACCACACCACGCTCATCACATCACACTACACCATCATGATCACCACACTCCACTGATACTCACAACCCTTTAACTTGTTGAAGACACTGCCACTGACAGTCTCATCATCACTGACTCCTTATTCTCACTACTTGTTATTGATAACTTCAACTAGGTTGTTATATTCTTTGTCTCTGAAACCAGACACAAACGTGCATGTCTTATTGCAAGGGTATCAGGATTCAAGCTGCTGTCGATCCTCCCTCACATAGGCCCTTCAGTTGATGTCTTACTTAACTCACATCTAACAAAAGACACCATTAATACAATTTCGGTCTGCCAAACAGAACCCCAAAAATGTAATCAGGAAGAAACTTGTTGATGAATTTGAGGCAACAGACAAGTGCAAACAGATACAAGTCAATCCATTGTCTACCATGATGAGAAGTACTACAAAAACATGTACAGTATATGGAGCAAGTAACAAGATGTTGTAACTGCTAGGACTAAGGTTAGGATATAAGTCCCTCTGGTAGTATATCCTCAAACAAACATGAACAAGACTAATGTAAAGTGTGTGACCAGATATAGCCACACACTCCAATACTACGTCTTAGACTGAAAAAATAAAATATTTTTGGGACAGGTCCAAGCACACTGTGCATGAACGGCACAGCACTTTATCTCTGATGGCAAGAATGGACATTAAATTTGTATCCACACTTCCTCACAGTAGCAGTAAACTCCGATGTACTGAACTAACCAAACAATGTACTGGAAATACTATAACATTCAACGCCACAATACTTACCAACCGGGTCTCATAAACACTCTTGAGACTCTGCTCTAATCATTTTTTCGCGCTACAGCTCACAGGCTAGGTATGGGGTGCACATTGAACCACACTACATCATCATGACTACTAGAACACTTCTAACACGAGGAAACTGTACATAGTATACTCTCTCTCCTCAAAAAAATAAATAAATAAATAAATAAATAAATAAATAAATGAATATATAAATAAATAAAATAAACATATATAAATAGCTAATGTATACAAATAAAAGCACAATTGTACACCACAAGAGCTGGCAAGAAGTGAATGAAACATATTCATTAAATCAAGTAACAGTACATCACTAGAGTTGCAGCAAGAGGGAAGTGTACACGCTGTCCACAACACCTCACACGCTGGTAGTATACCGCACGGTGTGCAACACGAATTAATCACTCACGCAGGTCACAGTCTGCCCCCACACACTGCACCGCCGATGTGTGTGTCGCCGAGGTGTATGTCTTACCCTGTTCGCGCATAGCATTGCTCACTCGGCTCACCGCCTCCCTGGCTACTGCTTGCGCTGTGTCCCTCACCACCCTGCTCCCTCCCCCCCAGCTGCCAATACCACCCCATCCTCCTGACAATGCCATCACCATCATCAACACGATAACCAGAACGACCATAGTCAACACCGCCATCACCATCATCACCATCGTAAACGCCACGCCAACACCAGCGCCACCATCACCAACCATCATCGTCAATACCGCCACTAACACCATCACCAGCACCACCACCATCAACACCATCACCAGTACCACCACCATCAACACCATCACCAGTACCACCATCGTCAGCGCCACCACCATCGTCAACACCACCACCGCATCGTGCCACATCGTCAACACGCTGCCATCGTCAACACCACTCGTCAACACCATCACCGCCACACCACCATCTGTCAACACCACACCCCACCACCACCATCGTCAACACCATCACCGCCACCGTCGCACCATCGCACCACCCCATCGTCAACACCATACCGCCACCCACCATCGTCAACACCATCACATTCTCGTTGCTGAGGTGTCACACCAACTAGCGAGCTCGAGCGTGGTGGTTGCGTATGTCGTGGGTGGCGTGCGTTATGGGTTTGCGATGCGTGTGTCTCACATCATCGTCTCGTAATTTTCTACTCAATGACTTATATTCAAGATTCATGTGACATAACGAAACCAATATTTATTTTCTACAGTTTGTGTCCCAGAAGTCAAAGAAATACCACAAAGTAAATAAATAAATAAATAAATAAATAAATAAAATAAATACAAATTCTCTCCAACTACCAAGACTCGCGTGCTGGTCGCCCATCAACTTAAACACGAGGAGCTATGACACTAAACATATACTGATGAATCCAAACCACATGTTGTCTGAACCAAGTGAAGTGCTGTGATATATTGTTCCAGGTTAGGTTAGGCGAATATAATTTAGTTTTGATTAGGTTAGGTTAGAGTTGGTTTAAAACAGTTTTGAGTTTATAGGTTAGACTAGGTTGGTTTGAAGATTAAGTGTTTATTTGTGTTTAAACCTCTTTACTTACACACAGTTCCCATAATATGTCGATGGTTTCCTGTGTGAGCCAGTTAGGTTAATCATTTGAGTACAAAGTTTTAACCCGTTGAGTAAACAGACTAATCTCATGAGTACCGATATTTTAACTCTTCGAATACGATGCAAAGGGATGAAATACTAAAAACGCAGACATTAAATATAAAAATATCATAGGCCACATCAACATTATTTTAATTAACTAAACCAAGAATCTCTTTTAGCAGGTAACCTTAAAACCTAACCTACCCAAACCTATCCTTACCTAACCAACCAAACCTAACCTATGTGCTTACCTAACCCTTCCCGACCTAACCTAAAATTATCTATATAACCTAACATAATTTAACCTATCTGAGCGATGTTACCTCGGTTACGTTAATCTTTTCTCAGAATCTAAACGACTAATACTATTTCTTATCTACCTAATATCATTAATTCGTGGTATAAATGTATAATTATCACAACATTTCAATTTTCCTTTAAAACATTTTCCTGCGCTCCCTCGTGTTTAATTCTAGAAATCAAAACACAATAAATTATCCAAGGAGATTAACCATGAACAAACGTGGACCTTTTAATTTGACTCATAATATCACACGATGAAGATGAAACAATTTAGAAGGATGTAGGTATATATATTTTCACATTGCGTTTAGCATAGTTAGCAGTTCTAAGAAAGAAGAGCAGTAATAGAAAACTTAACTATTTTAGGGAACTCCTTAGAATTATCTCTCTCTCTTCTCTCTCTTCGACAATGCATTATTAGCTGTCAGAGAAAAGTCAATATCCAATCACCATGTATTTATCATTACAAGACAGAACAGAATAAAAGTCATCGACAATTTCCAACATCTCACGACAACAGCAGCAGGAAGGCAGTGACAGAACTGTGTTATGATTTTGTTAAAATAATACACAAACAACGGTACATGTACCTAAACAAAAAACACATGCAACGGTACAGTAACACTTACATAAACAAGTGCAGAAACACAAACAAAGGTACAGTTCACTACACAAAATCAAACACACATACGCACATCTCATCTCAGAAACAAGAACAAACAAGAACATAACAAGAACATTTGAAACAACAACAATAACTCAAATAACATCAAAAATTAATTAAAGAATATCCTTCATCTCTTCATTGTCATCTATTTAATTATCTTATTTATCCATTAATTAAACCCCCCTTAGTAATTATATAAGTAAACATTAAAAGGCTAACAAAATGCTTATAGGAACTAAAATGACTTATATAACTAAAACCAAATTATAAGTGATGGGATCTTCAGTTCTGCCTCCGATCCACCTCCGTCCTCGGTCACATTCCGCCCTCCACCTTCTCCGACCACCTCCACCCACTCAATAACACTATACACCCTCCACAACACACCCTCCAACAACACTATCACCCCTCAACAACACTGCCACCTCAGCAACACCTTCCCCACCAACAACACTATACCCACTCCAACAACACTATACACCCCTCCAGCAACACTATACACCCACTCAACAACACTATACACCCACTCAACAACACTATACACCCACTCCAACAACACTACACCCACTCAACATCACTACACCCACTCCCAACAACACTATCACCCACTCAACAGCACTGCCACACCCACTCATGACGCCATACCCACTCAACAGCACTATACCTCCAGCAACACTACTTGCTCAACAACTTTCTGCCCACTCAACAACCTTCACCCACTCAGCAACACTATACACTCAGCATATCCACTCCTCGACATATACACCCACTCAAGTTGCTATACACCCATCGGCAGCACCACCCTCATTAACACTATACCCTCCCAGCAACGCACCGCCACTCAACAACCTATACACCCCTCCGGCAACTGTGCCACTCAACAGACACTATACCCACTCCAGCAACACTGCCTCCGGCAACGCTACTCACCACATCTCGGCACTATGCACCCTCAGCAACTCTGCCACCCACTCCAGCAACACTATGCACTCAACAGCACTATACCACTCCAACAACACTATACACCCACTCCAGCAACACTATACACACCAACAACACTATACCCACTCCAGCAACACTATGCACCCACTCCAACGCACTATGCACCCACTCCAGCAACACTGTGCACTCGGCAGCACTATGCACCCTCCAGCAACACTATGCACCCACTCCAGCAACACTATGCACCCGCCAGCAACGCTGTCCCACTCCAGCAACACTATGCACTCAGCAGCACTGCGCTTCAACGACACTATGCACCCACTCGGCATGCACTATGCACTCAGCGGCACTATCACCCACTCGGCAAGCACTATGCACCCACTCCAGCAATACTGTGCACCCATCGCTTATTTACTATCACCCACTCAATGACACTACGCCACTCAACAGCTCACTATGCACCGCTCAACAACACTATACACACCCACTCAACAACCACTTGCCACCCCGCTCAGCAACGCTATGCGCCCCGCTAATGACTTTGCCCACTCCAGCAACGCCTATACACCCACTCCAGCAACACTATGCACCCACTCCAGCAACACATACCCACTCAGCAACACTATGCACCTCCAGCAACACTATGCACCCACTCAAGCAACGCTTATGCGCCCACTCCGGCAACATATGCACCCACTCAAGACACTATGCACCCACTCCAGCAACACTAGCACCCACCAGCAACACTATGCACTCAACAACACTATGCACCCCGCCTCAACAACACTATACACCCGCTCAACAGCACTATGCACCCCCTCAACCTGGCACTATGCACCCACTCCAGCAAGCACTATGCGCCCACTCCAGCAAGCACTATGCGCCCCACTCAGCAACGCTACGCCCACTCAGCAACACTATCGCAGCTCAACAGCACTATACGCCCTCGGCAACCTATGCACCTGGTGGTGTTGCGCTCAGCAACACTGCCTCCCGCCACTATGCACCCACTCCAGCAACGCTATGCACCCACTCCAGCAGCACTATGCACACTCCAGCAACACTGTCCGCTCGCTGTCCGGCTTGGCTATGCGCCTCCGCTAGGCTTGTATGCACCCGCTCAGCAAGCCTGTCGCCCACTCCAGCAACACTATGCATGCGGCCTGTCCCACTCGACAGCACTGTGCGCTCCAGCACTATGCACCCCGCTCGGCAACTTTACTGCCCACTCGACAGCACTATGCACCCACTCAGCGACACTATACGCCCACTCCGGCAGACACTATGCCCCACTCAGCAACTTTTCGCACCCACTCCAGCAACACTATGCACCCTCCAGCAACACTACACCCACTCAACAGCACTATGCACCCACTCGGCAACACTACACCGCTCAACAACACTATGCGCCCACTCCAGCAACACTATGCACCCACTCAAGCAACACTATGCACCCACTCCAGCAACGTTCGCCACCCACTCCAGCAACACTATGCACCCCGCTCAACAGCACTACGCCCACTCGACAGCACTATGCGCCCCACTCCAGCAGCACTATGCACCCCTCCAGCAACACTATGCACCCCCTCAGCAACACTATGCGCCCGCTCCGGCAAGCATCGACACTGTACCCACTCCCGGCTGACGCTATGCCCGCTCAATGACGCTGTGCGCCCCGCTCAACAACCACTTTCTTCCAGCAACCTTGCCACTCCTCAAGCACTGCGCCCACTCAGCAACGCCGCGCTCCGGCGGCACTATGCACCCGCTCATGACACTATCGCCCGCTCCAGCATTGCTATGCGCCCGCTCCAGGCGGCACTGCGCACTCCAGCCAGCACTGCGCCCACTCCAGCAACACTATGCACCCACTCAGCAGCACTGTACACCCACTCAACAGCACTATACGCCGCCGACTACACTATGCACCCACTCAGCAACACTGTATGCACCCATCGGCCCTGCGCACCCGCTCCAGCAACGCTATGCACCGCTCACAGCACTGCTCACTCAGCAACACTACGCCCGCTCAGCAACACTATGCACCCACTCCAGCAACGCTTTATGCACTCCAGCTTTCAACACTATACACCCACTCTACGGCTACATGCCCCACTCCAGCAGCACTATGCACCCGCCAGCAACGCCATGCGCCCACACTCGGCAACCACTATGCACCCACTCGGCAACGCTTGCTCGCCGTCGGACGCACTGTGCGCCCGCTCAGCAACGCCTGTGCGCCCTCAGCAGCCTTTTACGCCCCGTCGACGGCGCACTCTATGCGCCGTCGGCAACGCATGCCCACTCCTGCAACGCTATGCACCCGCTCCAGCACTGTGCACCCACTCCAGCAGCACTGTACGCACTCCAGCAACGCATGCACCCACTCAACAGCACTGTTCACCCGCCAGCAACTTTTCTGCGCCCACCAGCAACTGACGCTCAACGCCCACTCCAGCAACGCTATGCACCCACTCCAGCAGCACTATGCCCCGCTCCAGCAACACTATGCGCCACTCCAGCAGCACTATGCACCCACTCAACGACGCCACCCGCTAACAACACTATGCCCACTCCGGCAGCTTTCACTATGCACCCGCTCACAAGCGCTATGCTATGGCGGCATCCATCAGCGGCACTATGCGCCCATCGGCAACGCATGCACTCCGCTCCAGCTACGCGCTCAACCGACGCCGTGCGCATCAGCAACTGCTATGCGCCCATCAGCGACACTGTGCGCCCGTCGGCGGCGCTGTGCGCCCCTTCCCAGTGGCGCTATGCACTTACGGCGGCACTGTCGCCCCACTCAGCGGCACTATGCGCCCGCTCCAGCGGCGCTATGCGCCCATCAGCAGCACTGTGCGCCCGCTCCAGCGGCGCATGCACCCGCTCAGCGGCGCTTTCCTGCGCCCCGCTTTAAGCAGCACTGTGCGCGCTCAATCAGCACTGTCGCGCCCGCTCCAGCGACGCATGCGCCCCGCTCGGTTACGCCTATGCTCCCATCAGCAACGCCTATGCGCCCGATCGGTGACACTTTCTGCGCCCCGCTCGGCAAGCACTGTGCGCCCCTTCCAACAGCACTATGCGCCCGCTCATGACCTGTTACGCCCACTCGGCAACACTATGCACCCGCTCAGCAACACTATGCGCCCACTCGGCTGACGCTGTACGCCCGCTCAGCAAGCACTGTACGCCCACTCCGAGGCGACCATGCGCCCAGCAAGCGCTATGCACCCGCTCAACGACACTATGCACCCACTCCAGCAGCACTATGCACCTCTGAAGCAATACCCCTCCAGCAACACTATGCCCCACTCAACAAGCACTATACCCTCTCAGCAACCACTATGCACCGCTCAACCAACCTATGCACCCCGCTCTACAGCACTGTTGCCCCGCTCAGCAACGCTATGCACCCACTCCAGCAACACTGTGCCCCACTCGGCTTAACGCTGTACGCCCACTCCTAGCAACGCTATGCACCCGCTCCAGCTACGCTATGCACCCACTCAGCAAGCACTATGCACCCGCTCGACTACACTGCTCACCCACGCTCAGCACGCCGCCCTCCGACAACACTGTGCGCCCCATCAGCCAACCTGATACACGCGCTCGTCGACGCTGTCGCCCACTCAGTGGCACTATACGCCCGCTCCAGCAGCACTATCACCCCGCTCAGCAACATATGCACCCACTCCAGCAACGCACATACGCCCACTCAACAACTTGCTATGCCCCACTCCAGCAACACTATGCACCCACTCAGCAACACTGTGCACCCGCTCAACAGCACTATGCACCCACTCCAGCAGCACTATGCACCCGTCAACAACGCCACTCTCAGCAACACTATGCACCCACTCGCAGCACCCACTCCAGCAACACTATGCACCCACTCAGCAACACTGTACACCCGCCGCACTGCCAGCAACACTATGCACCCGCTCCGGGCAACACTATGCACCCACTCCAGCAAGCACTATGCACCCACTCAGCAACTGCACCCGCTCAACCGACACTATGCACCCCGCTCAACCAGCACTGTGCACTCGGCAAACGCTCTATGCCCTCAACCAGCACTGTACGCCCCACTCGGCAAGCACTATGCGCGCTCCGCTTGACACTGCTCGCCACTCCAGCAACACTACACCCACTCAACAACACTATCACGCACTCCAGCAGCACTATACACCCACTCCAGCAGCACTATACACCCCTCGCAACGCTATGCACCCGCTCAGCAACACTATGCACCCCGCTCAAGCAACATGCGCCTCGGCAACGCTATGCACCCACTCCAGCAACCCTTAGCCACTCAGCAACACTATGCACCCACTCCAGCAACACTTGCACCCACTCGGCAACACTATGCCCGCTCAAGCACTGTCGCACTCGCAGCAAGCAATGTCAGCTCAACGGCACTGTGCCCACTCAGCAGCGCTATGTGTGCGTGGCTTCCCCCCCCCCCCCCC